GTTCCATCAGAACTATCTACAGAGAGAGGGATGACAAAGTATCCTGAGAGAAAGTGCTTTTTAATTTAGCATCACAGGGATTGTTCAAGAATGGCTGATATGATTCCTTCCAACGGTGTGGGAGGGAAGCTTTTATTTGATGGTGTTTCCAATAAACAACGTTTCCATGTTGTAGGACATGATCTTTAATATTTATGTAGCCAGGGAGCACCCTGTTCAAAGAATCTTTAATTAATTTGAACTTTTTAGTAAGAAGCTTTGTAAGGCTTTGGGAGTAATGGAGAATATCACCTTTAAAGAGAGCTGGTTGTAGGCTACTTTCTCCATGTGCATGGACCTCTCTGCTGTTATTTTAAAGGGAGAAAGATTTTTTACCCAAACGGAGTAAAAAATAAGTTAAACAATACCGACAGAAGAACCTTAGGCCAGGAAAGTTTAAAAGTTTCTGTAAACTTTGCCAAATGATTTATTTTTTATTACACCATTTGTATATTCCACCAATCCAGAAGACTGAGTGTGGTATGCACATGGAAATCCTGAAAAATTGGCCACATGTTATTAATAGACAAATTCTTTTACCAGTGAAAGGGGTTTCTCTCTCTGTGAAGATGAGGTGGAAATCTCCATGAAGAAATGGAATGAGACTTACAGTGATCATGGTTGAAGACACAATTCAATTAATGAATAAATTTGGTCATTTTGTTTTGTTTTTCAGTTTACTCAAAGGTGAACCAAAGTCTTTTATCTCTTATTAATACTTAATAAAAACCCTGTTTGAAGAGAAAACCAAATTTTATACTCATTATTATATTATTACTAAAACTAATTTTAATAAAACTTTATAAACAGATCTATTCAATCTCATTCAGCTCTGACCACACGTGATAAGATTTCTATAAACTTTTTGTAACCTCTTCCAATTCTTTCCATTCTCTTTCTCCAGTCTCTTATATCCATTCATCCATCATTTTTTCCTTCTTTTATTCTTATAATGCCACCTTTAAAGAAACTTTAGGTAAAATTACTTTTTTTGGGAAAAAATACATCCTTATGTCTCCTTTTTATAACTTTTTTCCCTTTTTTTTTTTTTTTTGCCTAAAAACACATCTTATTTTCTTTATGCACTCTGTACATATTAATAGAATTGTTTCTTTCCTTGTCTCTAGCTTTAGTTACCATATGGTAGTCAGAATTTTAACACAGAGTAACGTTAATTCACAGTGAAGACCTAACAAAAAAAAATATTTTGAGACGGGGTCTCATTCTGTTGCCTGAGCTAGAGTACAGTGGTATCATTATAGCTCCCCGCAACCTATTAATTCCTAGGCTCAAGCAATCCTCCAGGCTCAGCCTTTTGAGTAGCTAGGGCTACAGATATGTGCCACCAGGCCTGGCTAGTGTTTTTTATTATACTTTTGTAGAGACAATGTCTTGCTATGTTGCCCAGGCTGGTCTCGAACTCGTGGCCTCAAGCTGTCTCTCACTGGCCTCCCAAAATGGTTTACAGATGTAAGCCACTGTGCTGGGTTGAAATAAGTAGTTTTAACTGTTAGACATTTACTAATACTTTATGAATGCACCTCTATTTGTTTATTTATTTATGAGACAGGGTCTCACTGGTTTGCCTGGGTTAGAGTGCAATGAAATGATCACAGCTCACTGCAACATCAAACTCCTGGATTCAAGTAATCCTCCTAGCTCAGCCTCCTGAGTAGCTTTGATACCAGGATAAAGGTACCATGCCCAGCTTATTTTTTTTTTTAGAAACAAGGTGTCACTGTTTTGCTCAGGCTGGTTTTTACCTCCTGGCCTCAAGCTACTCTCCTCCCCTGGCCTCCAAAATTCTAGAATTACAGGTGTGAGCCACGATACACAGCCCTCATTTATAATTTTTAAAAACATAGGCTTTCTTGCCTCTCTGCCTATTTATGGAGTACAGTTCTTTCTAGAGCACGGTTAGACCAAATTCCTACAAAAATACACTCACAGAGCTACAATCATCAGGGCCAGCCCTGTCGTTCAGTGCTCCTGGCATCTTTAGACCCCACAGTGATTCACAGACTACTGGGGCTCTGACGCCCACCCAGATGGGTGTGTGCACACCTAGTCGGCCTGCGAATCTCTACGTCTGCTGCATTCTCCTCCCCCAATGCCAGGGAATGTGCAGCAGGTGCTGCTGTTTCCCCAGCTCTCTAGGTCCCTAAATGTGCAGCTTCAAATTCTGAATTGAAGGCCTGGGGTTCCTCAGGATGCACTAGAGCAGGCTGCCTGTGGGGATCTCTCCTCAAGGCTGCGTCCCCTCACTGTAAAACCACAGAATGCAGAGGAAGTATAATTTCTCCTTGAATATACACGCAGGAACTGGCCTCCACCTGGGATTCACAAGACAGGGCCACACCAGACTGAGGATGTGCAAAAATGTATCTGGGTGAGACATTTTCTGCAGCATCAGAGACCAATGTGGACTTTGTCAACCTGAAAGTCCTCTCCAGGTGGAGCCCTTGAAAGTTTCCAGATCTTGTCCAGTGACCTATTTCAGCTCTATAAATGGCTCCCAGTGGTCAGTACACAATCTACAAGTGAAAACAATCATCAGCGTTGAAGCCAGCCCTTCCAGCGACACCAGACCCTACTTTAACTGAACATAAGAAAGGAGGAAATTGATTAACATTGAAAGGTCAGGACCACAAAATATCCACCACCATGACTGGAACGACCCCTGCCTGTACATTGTGTTACTGGAGTAGAGTCTTCTTCGTCTTACCCCACAGTTAGCTGATCGGAGACAGGGAATATCACACCTAGATCCATGGTTGGCTGCTCTCTCAGAGCAGGTTCATTCTATATCTTGACCCCACAGAGTCAGCATGAGTCTCTCTTGCATGGATCACCATGGGGACATTGGCCCAGGCTCACTGGAGACCCTCTCACCAGCATCTGGGAGTCTTTGAGACATTGGGGGTGCAGACTGGGCTCAGGTTGACACCTGGCTCTAAACCTTCTTCTATCTCACAGGGAGATGACTGTGTCATGCAGGGGTTTTTTCCTCTCGTCACAGAAGAAATCTCCTTGGTTGATCCCCACGTGGAAGTTGAATTTTTAGTCTAGAGCAAATGGATAAATGGTTGAATTCAGCATCATGTAATCAGTACAGAAAAAGGGAAATATATGGGGACTTTGGCTTTATTTGGACCACTTCCCTGTGTTCTCATGAGTTCTGATGTTACCATCCAAGGAAAGAACAGTTGTTTTTGCAGTCATTTCTGTTGCTTTACCTTGTTCAGAATAAATATTGAGCATCTAATTTAATTTTCCTAGAAAACTCTGATGTTCTAAGTTAAATTGCTTGTTACGTTATGCAATAGACAAGAAAGTACCTTAAAATGATTAAAGGCATACAAAGAGTGGGAGTAGAATTTATGTTGAGCAAGCTCAGAAAAGACAGAAAAATAAACCAGCAGCGTAGAAGTCAGAGCCTAGGACCTGCTCCCTGTCCCAGCCCTGCCGAGATGCACCCTCTTCTGTGCCTTGCTCAGGTCTGGTCTCATCCTGGATTCTCCCCTCAAAGAGCTGACTAGAGAAGGTCCGAGTTTGGGGTGGCTGTTCCTGCCATCCTTCCAGACCTGGTGCTCATGATTTCCCTAAACCCAAAAGCAGATATGTGGGTGCAAAGAATTATGGATTTTGGTGCCTTTATTTTCATTAAAACCTGTGTCTCTAGAAAGAGACATTTCACCCTCCAGCCTGTTTTCTATTTTTTCAGATCCAGTAGAGGTTCTACAAGGTATGAGGAAGTAAATATAAACACAACAGTAAAAAAACCTTCCCTATTACTCCTCAACACTTCCTTTCCATGTCTCTCCCATGCATGTATATCTTTTACTCTGTATAGTTTTTATTTCATCAGTGACAAAGAGACAGAAGAAAAATAAAAAATCTGGGCCTCAAATCTAGGTTCTGCTAGGAATTATGGGACGCTTAGTCGCTGACTCCCGGGGTGTTACGAGGTTCCCAGCACAGCGCACTGCAGCAACTCGTGAACACAGAGTACGTCATCAGTGAGCACTGCATTAATGCATGTGCACATGTTGTTTTCCAGTTGACTTCCTCAGATATAGTTGCCTTTCCAGCCTTTGTCAACTTTAAAGGGCCGGCAGAGAATATTGTTTCAGGATGGTGATTTGTGGCTTTCCCTTGGACCGGAAGTATTTATGTTGTGATAGACGTATTGGGTGTAAGGGACTCTGTGCTGTGCCTGCTGTCTCTAGCTGAGTGCTACTAATGACAGGTCTGGGAAAACATCAGCACTAACTCGTGACTTGTTAACGAAGCCAATTTGTGGACTCTTTCCACACCTGCGGAGTCACATTACTTAGACTGGAGCCTGGGCACCAAATGATTTCTATGCACATTGAAGCTTGAGAAGCAATGCTTAGCTAAGTGTCTCTGAGCCCAGGCTTCCAGTTATAATCTTCCGACCAGTTTGAAGACATACCATCCCCTGTGCCCTCCCTACAGATTCTGGCTATTGTTCAGGGCGAGACCATCCATGTGGTTTCAATTAAATGCTCCTCATGAGTTTAAGGTGAGGCCAGAGTCAAGCATGTGAGCTCCCAGATCCAGTCATGAGATTTGAGTTCAGCCTTTTTTCCGAAGGGAGATCACAGGATCTGCTCTGCTTGGGTTCTGTGGGGGTGAGTCAGTGCGGCCCATATTCCCATTGCTGGTGTCAGTGGCAGGGGAGGGCGCTTGAGGGCAGGAAAGAAGAAACTCATATTTTGATCTTGATGTAGGAGCTCATTGTTCCTGAGCCTCTACTGTGGCATAGGAGAGAAGAGTGTGGCCTTTTCTGCACTTCCAGGTCCCTCTGCCTGTCGGTGTGGTGGTAGCTCATGAAGGGGTTATGTTGGTGCCTTCAAACGTATATTCCGAAGATGCAGCTGTGATTTGTCCAGATAATCTCACCTGAGAAGGAATCTTAGAGGAGAAGAAAGGAAGAAATGGCTGGTTCTCAGGTAAGAGCCTCCCAGGTCAGGGGCTGTGTCCACTTTTACTCCTAGAATGTCATGTATTTGGGACTTGCAAATCGTTGCTTCTCTACTTCTGAATGTTTCTGCCTAGCAAGATTGTCTCAGCTACTTTTTTCCCTTTCTTCTTATGATTTTCAAGGAGCTCTTTGAAGTCCTTGGCCCCTTCATACGAGAGCCTTCTCTCCATTCAGGCTTATTACATGCTGCGAGAAATTCTCACCAAGAATTTATAACCTGCAATATCGAAATTGTTCCCTTTTTGACAGGTCAATGTAGAAAGGTATGGATACCCAAGATTTCTCTAGGGTATAGGGTTTGGTTCTTGGGTATCAGTGAGAAGGGGGAATGTGCACTGTTGAGGTTCTCTCTAAATGCCCCTTCATCTCTATGCCACACAGGATTTAAAAATGCACATTTATGACCAGGTGAGGTGGTTCACACCTGTAGTCCTAGCACTTTTGGGGGCTTAGGTGGGAGGATCACTTGAGGTCAGGAGTTTGAGACCAGTTTGAGCCAGAGTGAGACCCTGTCTGTATGAAAAACAGAAACTTGGCCAGGTGTGGTGGTCCACACTGGTACTCTCAGCTATCCAGGAGGCTAAAACAGGAAGATTGCTGGAGCCCAGCAGTTTGAGGTTGCAGTGAGCTGTGATGCTGCCACTGAAGTCCAGCATGGGCAGCACTGTGAGACCCTGTGTCAGAAAACGCACGTTTAAAGAGATGACATTAATTGCCCAAGGTAACTCTGAAAGTTCTGAAAATGAGATCAATTAGAGGAGATGTACTCCCTAGGTTGCCAAAGAAAGACTATTTAAATATACTACTGGAGATAAAAAAGAAATGAGAAATATATGTGGTTTCAACTATACAAAAACCTGATGGTTTTCATGATTAGATTCAGATTAAGATTCACTTTTTTTTTTTGCCATTAATTTTTCAGCAGTGATGTATCCTGTGTGCATCAGCACCTCATACCAATTTGTCTTCTTACAGTTGATGTTCATTCACTTGGTTAAAGTGCTCTCTGACAGATTTCTCCACTATAAAATTAATTATTTTTTTATTTATTCTTAATGTGTATCTTGGGGAATTTTACTGACTAATGTACCTAAATTATCACATTTAATCTGGAAGTTCCCCTTCTTAGTTTCTCTTTGCTTATAGCGTGCTTTGGAAAATGAAGGTTTTCATCTTTGTTTATCAGTCAGATAAACTCAGACAAAACTCAGGTTCTATCACTTCCTATATGTTTGGCAAAATACTCTTTTTGGGCCAGAAGAGTTGGCATAGTTAAGTTTGTTACAAATGCAGAAACCCAGGTCCCACTGCAGATCTCCTGAGTCAGAATCTGCATTTTGACAAGATCTCCAGTTCTCTGTAGTACACATTAAAATTTTTGAAGTATCCCTGTCCCTCCTAATGACTTTTCCATATGAGAAACATGTAAAGCTTATAATAATGTATTGTACACTTGTCTTTTGCTAAAAGTGTAGAGTCAGGTGTTCTCAGCTCTCACACATACAAAGGGAAGTATACAAAACGATGGATGTGTTAATAGCTTTATTATGGTAATCATTTCAATATATATATATCAAACCAATGTTATAACTTATAAGTATACACAATTTTCATTTATCAAGTATACGTCAATAAAACTGGAAAAAATTAATAAAATTTTTTAAAAAGCTTATTATGTATGATATATATAGACCACTCAAAAATGTATATATGCCTGTGTTGAGGCCCTTAATTTTATACTGTATCATACAGAAAAGTACAGTGTCTACACTTGTTTTGTGGATCTTTTTGCCATCCTCTGTCCTCCAAGTTAGAGACTGCATTAGACAGTCTTATTATGTTAATTATTAGATAATTATAGTCACTCAAGCAAGTCAGAGCCAGTTCTCTTCACTCTCCCATTTCACATTTAGTCAAATGAACGATACTATCCGTGGCTACTTGGTAAATATGCATTTTTTCCCAGGGCCTGTTGACATTCAGGGATGTGGTTATAGAGTTCTCTCTGGAGGAGTGGATGTGCCTGGATCCTGCTCAACGGAATTTGTATAGAGATGTGATGTTAGAGAACTGCAGAAACCTGGTCTCCCTGGGTGAGCATAACTTCCCTTTAGGAGTCCTAATTTTTTCCTTTCCTACAAAAGTTTTCATTTCCTTTCTTTGTGGAAGGTTTTTGGGAGTTTCTGCTTTGCATGAATGAGTTTTAGATCCCTGCTTTCAAGGAAATCTTGGGGGTTTGTTGCTGTCGAACAGAAAATCTTGAAGATGTTTCATCTTGACATGAAACTTCCCCTTTCTTGAACTGATCCGTATGCTTCACTCTAGATTAATGACAATTCTCGACATTCAGTGGCGTAAAACTTTATTTCCCAGACCTTAAAATCCAATTTTACCACCAATTTTTGATTCAGTATTACTGGATATTGGAGCTAAGGACTCATAAATTTAAAATGCCTCCTAAACATTCTAATGGTTCTGTCAAGAAGCAGTATTTTGAGTTTAATTTTCTAGAAACCTCTGTAATGTTTTCTCGTCTCTAGTGATCACAGTACTGGATTGGTAACTGGAGAATTCTAGCAAGGGTTATGTTACTTTTTTTCAATAAAACAGGTCTTGCTGCATCTAAGCCAGACCTTATTATTTGTCTTGAGCAAAGGCAAGAGCCCTGGAACGTGAAGAGACACAAGAGAGTAGCCAAACACTCAGGTAGGTGGGAATGAATGAAGCGGATGACACAGATGAGAGGCCCAAAGGTCTAGGAGGAAGCCAGACCTTAAAATATGGTTTGGGAAGCTCTGCTCCAGTGGAAATGGTTTCTCAGAAGCCTGGGTTTCTTTCTTTTGCTCTCACACAGGGGCATCTTCTGTCCTGTGCTCTAAAACTCTCTAAGGTCTCTACTTCCCTTCAGTGATCTTTCTTCAAGGTTATAGTGAGAGCCAATTTTCTCTTCATGGCTGATGAGGGACTACAAGATCTGAATGCTCTTCCTTTCCTTTTGGGGACATGAGAATACCTGTGTATATTTTTGAGAAACTCTCTTTTAAACCGTTTTTTATGTTCCCTTTTTGCTTCCTGTCTGAAATATGTCAATAGTGGTGATACTGATATTTGCTTCAGAAATCCCAGGAACACCAGAGACAGATGTACATTTTCTGCTTTATGATTTCCTACCATGGAGGTTCCCATTGTTATTTTGCAGAAATTTATACTCAGTAATTTTATCAGAACCCTATGGCTCTTCCTAAATATTAAAAAAAAAACTAATGTTATTTTACTTCACAATTTTTTAGTGTGAACTGAGGTTAATAATTTAAGTTCTATGCTTTCATATTCTTCAACTGTGATATAGTTTAGTATACCTACTCACTTCCTAGATTTCTTAAACATACTATGTTATTAGGGCTTACAGTACATTGCTGAGCATATATAAAACTCCCACTTGTGACCTTATATTTTTAATAACCCATTTTATAAGTTCTCTTTTTTAGTGTGAAGTTTACCTTGACTGTATCATTCACATATTTATGATTGTGTGTGTGTGTGTGTGTGTGTGTGAGCGACAGAGAGAAAGAGCTGTCTGGAAAGTGTCCAGCCATGTAACCATTGTTGTTATATTAACAATGGCTGAATACTTTCCAGACAGCCTATATATAAATAATGTTACATATTGATTTGTATAAATACATATTTATATGTAGTGTAATGATTTGATATGTATAAATTGTGAAATGAGTAATACAATCAAGTTGATGAACACATCTATCATCTCACGTAGTTAGCCTTTTATTTTGCAGTGAGAACACTTAAGGTCTACTGTCTTAGCAAGTTTTAGAGAACAAAATAATATTATTATCTATAATCATGATGCTATATATTAAAGCCTCAAAACATTCGTCTTATAACTGAGAGTTTGTACCCTTTGGACAGCATTTCCCATTTTTCCCATCTGTAGGCTTTGACAACAATGTTGTTGTACTCTCTGCTGCTAGGAGTTCAACCTTTTCAGAGTGTTCATACAAGTGAGAACATGAAGTATTTGCCTTTCTGTGCCTGGCTTATTTCACTTAGCATAATGTCCTCTAGGTCTGTCATGTTGTATAAGGGGCAGGATTTTATTTTATTTTTTTATGGCTGAATAAAGTTCCCTCGTGTATATTACCATATTTCCTTTATCCATTCAGCATTCACAAACACTTAGGTTGTTTTCACATCATGGTACTCGTGAATGATACTGCAATGATGGAGGAGTGCAGGTATTTCTTTGAGATTATGATTTTATTTCCTTTAGTTATATACAGAGATGGAGGATTGTTGGATTTTATGGTGGTTCTCTTTTTCAAAATTTTTTAAAGAAACTTCATACTGGTTTTTATAATGACTCTACCAATTTACAGCTCAACCACAGGGTACTGTATTTCTTTTTCTTCATAGCCTTGTCAACATTTGTTATCTTTTTTCTTTTTGATATTAATTATCTTAAGAGATGTGAGGTGATATCTCATCATTGTTTTAACTTACATTGCCTGATGATTGGTGATGCTCAAGCACCATTTTATATAAATATTGGCCATTTGCGTGTATTGTTTAGAAAAAATATCTGTTTAGTCTTTTCTCTATTTTTAAATTGAGTTATTGTCATTATTTTTGCCGTTAATTTGTATAAATTTCTTATATATTGTGAATATTAAGCTTTTGTGAGATACGTGGTTTGCAAATGTTTTCTTCTATGTTGTAAATTTCCTTATTTTATAGTTTTCTTTGTTGTGTAGAAGCTTTTTGGTTTGATGCAGTCTGACTTATTTATATTTGCTTTTGTTGCTGTCCTTTTTGTGTCCCATCCAAAAAATCATTACCAAGACCAATATCAGGAAGATATTTCATATGTGTTCTTTTATGATTTTAGAGATTCATGTATTTAATTTGTCTTCATTTTTAGTTAATTTTTAGGCATGATGAGAGAAAAACGGTCTCATTTTATTCTTGGGCTGGTGGGTATCCAGTTTTTCTAGCATCAAGGATTGAAGGAATATTACTTTGTGTGTTGGGCATTCTTGGTGTCCCCGTCAAAGATTAGTTGACCTTATGTGCCTGGGTTTATTTCTAGGCTTTTTCTTCACTTCCGTTTGTTTTTGTGTCATTTTGTTAAGCACTTAGCACCCTGTTTTGATTACCATATTCTCGAAAAATAATTTCACATCTAAAAGCATGATGTCTCCAGCTTTGTTGTTCTTCCTCAACCTTGCTTTAACTACTCAAAATCTCTTGTATGTTCATAGAAGTTTTGGATCGTTTTTCTTTCTATTGAGAATTACATTGGAATTTTTATAGAAATCACATTAAATATATAGGTTGGTTTGGATAATATGGTACTCTAACAATATTAATTCTTCCAATACATAAAAATGGTATGTTTTTATGTTTATTTGTCTCTTTTTCATTAATATCGTATTTTTTCCAGCATAAAGATCTTTCATCTTTTTGGTTGTCTGCCTAAGATATTACTTTTTTTGATGATAGTATAGATGAGATTGTTTCCTTTGTTTTTTTTTATCAGATTGTTATTAGGGTATGGAAGCACAACTCATGTTTCTGGTTAATTTCTTATTTAATTTACCGAGGTCATTTATTTAAACAGTTTTTTTGTGTAACACTCATGTTTTTCTGTATATAAGATTGTGTCATCTGTGGTGACTTTTTTACTTCTTTTCAATTTGGTCGTTGTTTTATTTTCTTGCCAGATTGTTCTGCATAGACTATTCCGTATTGTGGTAAAATAGAAGCATTGACAGTAGCGGACTATATATAGCCTTGCATTAGTATCTGCAATTTTTATTAACTGGCTTCAGCAGGTAAAGATCTTTTCCTGTTGGTTCCCCAAACTGATGGGATCTCTTCTGTGTTTGCAGTGGAGAGGAGTTGGATCTCGGTCACAAGGCAGCTGCAGGTGTGTAGTGGGGTCTAGCTTTGGTGAGCTTGTTACCAGGGTCTTGGGTGGTTGTGAATCCTGTCTTATTTTGGGGCAGACTGAATTGCCTTCATGACTTTGATCTGTAGGGCAGGAACTTGCAGTTGGGTCTGCATAGAGTGGGCCTGATATCAGCTGTATGGATGAGTGTGGCTCCCACTGAGTACGTGGGAGGGTTTCCCCAAAGCACTGTGTGAGTCTCTAGAGGGCGAGGCTAGCCAAAGGCTATGGCTAAGAGGGCTGATAGTGAGTCACAGAACTGTTTCAGAGACCACAGTAAGGACCAAAGTCTGCAGGCCTGCCTTTATGTCCGTGAGTGGGCATCTCACCCCAGGTCTCTGGATGGGCAGGACCACTCCCATACTGTGGCTGGGAGGAGTTGGAGACATTTAGAGAGCAGCTTCAGAATTCTCAGTGGGACTACATTTGGTGTGCCAATTCCTGGTCTGTAGCCAAGAACAGGGGTCCTCAAGTTTGCCTCCTAGGTAAGGGCCTGCTTTCTCAAATTGACCTATCTTGGTTTTGGGGTTTAGCAGGGATTTACAACACTCTCCATGGCTCCCAAATGTGTCATAATGCACTTTTTTTTTTTTTTTTTTTGAGATTTAGTCTCGCTCTGTCACCTAAGCTAGAGTGTTGTGGCATCAACCCAGCTCACAGCAACCTCAAACTCCTAGGCTCAAGTGATTCTCCTGCTTCAGAATCCCGAGTAGCCGGGATTACAAGCCCACACTACCACGCCTGGCTAATTTTTCTATTCTTAGTAGACACAGGGTCTTGCTATTGCTCAGGCTGGTCTCGAACTCCTGACCTCAAGCGATCCTCCCGCCTTGGGCTCCAGAGTTCTAGGATTACAGACATAAACCACTACACCAAGCCCATAATGCACTTTTGTCAATGGATGTCTGCCAGATTATAGATGCCGTGAGCCGACACACAAGTGAGGGATTTTCTGTTGTTCCATCTTGCTGATGTCACTGTTCCTATATGTTTTCACTTTCTAAATTGTTTTGTTTCAAATTTGTCTGTAATATAGACCCAAATATTCAAAAATTATGCTTGAATTTATATGTTATGGGAGAAGTAAATTAGATAATTAGTAGGTACTCTGTATTCAGTAAAATGACCACTTGTCAGTTTAAGTTTACTGAAGGTGTAAAGGAATCACTGGGATTTTCATCCACTTTCCTAAACCTGTATCTAAATGATAATATGATTTACTCCCTAATATTCATTTTATATATCATTGATGCTCTTTACATTTAACAAAATTCATATTTTTTCTTCATTTAGAAAAGTAAGTCATGCCTTTTGAGAATGAAAAAAAACTTTATATTTACTATCTTTTAAATGCTTATTCAATTAAAATGTTTTCATTAGAGCCTTTTATTAATAATTGCAATGCATTTCCAATAAATTTTACCTCCATACACAGCATTCCAGTGATTGAAAATTTCTGCTCCCCATGGGTGCAGTCACAGTTGAACATTGTAGTTATTTAGAAGAAATTTTTTTTTTAATGGTACATCAATGTTGCTTTTAAAATATTTTGGATAAATGTTTGTTTTATTCTCATTTTGCAGTACTGTGTTATTGTGTTACTGTGTTTCTTTTTGGGGTAGGTTCTTTAACATTAGTTTATTGTGGTTTTTGTTTTACCTGTTTATTATAATTTTGAATAAAAATTTGCAACTTTGTGTATACACTTCATGTCAGTGTGGGGTTTAATTAAAATATGAATCAGGCATAGGCCTA